GTAGTTGCTAGGGGGGGGGGGGTGGCTAGTAGTAGTAGTAGTAGTAGTAGTAGTAGTGGTAGTGGTAGTAGTAGTAGTAGTAGTAGCAGTAGCAGCAGCAGTAGTAGTAGCAGCAGCAGCAGCATCGGCTGTGGCAGTGGCAGTGGCAGTGGCAGTGGCAGTGGCAGCAGCGGTAGCGGTAGCGGAGAAGCGGTAGCGGTAGCGGTAGCGGAAGCGGTAGCGGTAGCGGTAGCGGTAGCGGTAGTGGTAGTGGTAGTGGTAGCAGCAGTAGCAGTGGTAGCAGTGTTACAGTAGCAGTGGTAGCAGTCGTAGCAGTGGTGGTTGTGGTAGTGGTTGTAGTAGCGGTAGTAGTGGTAGTGGTGGTAGTAGCGGGTTAGCAGTAGTAGCGACAGGAGGGGTAGTAGTGCTAGTAGTGGTAGCAGTGATGGCAGTAGCATTAGCAGGAGGAGGAAAAGAAGGAGGCCACGTCGCAGCCTTCACGAGCAGCTGGGCGACTGGAAGCCCCAGGCCAACATTGTCGAAGGCCTGAAAGAGGAAGAGGAAATCAAGACCCAAACCGTGAAGCCCAGATCGCAACGCCTTCATCCCACAGCCGTGCCAGAAATTGCCCAATGCATGAAGTCGGGCTCTTGCTCGACTAAGTTCGGATTGCTTCTCGTTTGAACAGGGATGGGCTTCCCTCTCATGCCACAGTGATCTGCATTGCTACTGGAAGCGTCTAATCAGAAGGTCGGACCCTACACCGATGCGAGGCATGGAGAGAAGACGATGGGTAGCGGGCTGCTTACACATGTCCCAAACTTGCGTTCACGGCTCCACCTTGGCATGAGACACGATCTTCGCGGCAACACCGTCCATGCCTGCAGCACGCCCTAAACCCCCGGGCCCTAGTCCCAAATCTTTAACCTTTGCAACCCTCAATCGTCAACCCGGGGTCCAGGGCCGCCTCTGCCGGGGTTTGGGCCTGGGCCTCCATGGTCTGCACAGCTTAATAAGTACGGGCCAGCATCTGTCATTACATATAGTTGCTGTGCTGTTGTATTGGTGGTCTTTGTCTTGTTCTCGAGCTTACCACCGTTGTTGTCTTCGTCGTCGTCGCCACGACGATGACATGGGAGCGACTGCCGTTCTGGCGGTGGTGGTTGCTGCTGCCGGTCTTGTTGCTCTACTTGTCGGCTTTCCTGTCCATGCCGCCTTCCTTGCTCCCCAAACCCAGAAGTTTCTCAGCCCCAGACCCCAGACACTAAACCCTAAACCCTAGACCCCAAACCATCGACTTCCTGGACCCGAAACCTGACGAAGTTTCGCTGAGGACCTGGCTCAAGGCCGTCTCCGAGATCCAGCAGAACACGGTCACAATCTGGCTGAGGCTTTGGGTCATGTATACGATACTTAAATGGAGACTGAAAGGGGATGCTGGGATACTGTATCCTACTGTTCAGATCTATACAGTCGGGTTGTATCCTTGGATGCTTAAGGTGCTTGCTTGGAGTGTAAGGTTTGGAACCCTAGGGTCTGAGTGGAATTTTTGTCGGCAAAGGGCGATTCATACCACACCCCAAATCTCAACATCGCACCCTGAACATCCAACCCTCAGACCTGTACGAGAACCCCTCACCCCCCTTACAGTCGAATCATAAATCCTAAAAGCTCCACCTCTAAACCCAATACACGCCAGCCCTTACCCCAAAAGGCAAAGCCCTATGTAACCTGCCAACACGCGAATAATCGCAGGTCTACCAGGGCTTCTGTGGGTTTCTGGGTCTGCGTCGTCTGCGGCTTCTTGGGCATAGTGCGTGAATGGCTTTCGGCTCAGGCCTAGGCTAACACGTAAGCCCTAATCCCTCAACTTTAAACCCTAAACCCTAAACCCTTAACCCTAAACCCTAAACCCCAACCCCTAAACCCTAATTGTGCTTCAGGCTAAAAGGCTGCTCCAACAAAGTGGGTGGTGCTCTGCATGTGACGGGAAGTGTCCGCAGAGTTTCTTTCAGCACCCTTGCAGTATGGGCTGCTTTCAGGGGTCCCTTAAGGGATGCTGTACGGGCTGTTGTAAGAGGTTCAGGGCTTACATGCACAGCTGCGCAGCTTTGGGCCATGGGAGGGATTCGAATTTCTGGCCTTAGGGCTTAGAGCTTCAAGTTTGGGGCTTCGAATGTTGGGTTTGGGAATTTCAGGTCTTGGCTTTGAGTTTAGCTTACAAGGTTAGAATCTAACCGTTAGATCTGTGGATGTTGGGCTGAGGGTTTATGTTACCCTCCCCACAATTCAGCGAAGCTGCATTCGCGAAGAAGAACAGCAGTGCCTCAAGCCATCCATCTCGCTCTCTCTCTCTCTCTCTCTCTCTCTTCCTCCTCTTCTTCCTGCGGGGCTAAACAGCTTGCGGTGTTGAGTCTGGTCGTGCAAAAGCCGACATGCACACGAGCAGTTCTCGTTTTGGCAGTCGTCACTGCGGTGCTCGAAATGGCCGTGCTACCAGGAGCATCACCACCAGGGCGGCGACCACTACTGCAAGTGGTATAAATCCGACTCACGACGACAGCTTACAGAGGGATTTCTTCAAACTACCAAACCCCCCCCCGCCACATTCGTCCCACTCGCAGTCCACTCCCCTCATACCGACAGCATCGAGGGAAACCCGGGACACCAAACAACTCTCAGCCCTTGGCGAGGATGATCGCCACCTTGGCCGCGCAGACGGTCACCCAAGCACCGCAGTAGGACTCCTCACCCTTGGCTTGACAAGGGCTTCGACTTGGGGTTCGGGGCTGACTCGGAATGGGTAGCGTCCCACAGCCGTCGTTGTCTTAGCACTACATCTCCTACCCCAGAATATCTGGACGATAAAGCCACCAAGTGAAGTGAGTTCAACATCTCGACGACAGAATCTGGCTGGGCAAACGAAACCTCGCAACTGCAAGCGAAGCTTCCGTGGCGCTAGCCCAGCCCTACTCTCGAGTGCAAGGGGCAGCCCGACTCCTCGAAAAGCCTATAAGCAACCCCGCTAACCCCTTACCATCAACAACATATTCAGATCCTGCAGAACAAATCCCTACCTTTCCCAACTCCAGGACTTTGTAGATGGGTCAAGTCAGCTTTTGTGAGGGTTCGGAGTTTGTGATATCTGACGCCTTTGCGAAGCCCTCCAAACCTGAACCCTGGAGCATTATCTTCTATCATCTTCAAGCAGAACATTAGGGTTCGTTGCGATAGGGCTCGCATCTGCTCTGTGTAGAGGCACACGATCGTGGGTGTGCGGCTGGGGATTAGAACGTTTTCTATGTTTAGCGCTCGACCCTGATCCTCCTTTAAACACCCTGGCCCTCCTAAGCCGTAGCCGTAAACCATAAAGAACCCTGAGTGAGCCCCAACCCTTTAACCGCAGCTCCATGGAAATCTCAGCCGTGGTTGTTGCACCAATGATTCGGCAGAGCATGGCGTGAGACTGCGGCACTTCGGCCCCAAGCGAGGTGTCGGATCTGCGAGAGACCCGCCCTAGCTTTGAGACTAAACTCTAAGACTCTAAGACTAAAATGGGGGCTGTACCTAAGTAAGATAAGGCTGTGTAAGGTCTGAAGGACCGTTCGCTCTTCAAGAGCAGGATCCCATGAAGGACTGATAGAGCGGTCAGGCCTCTGCACCCTCAACGATCATGCTCACGTTCAGCAACTACGCGACACAACGCGACTAAAGTGAAACGCAGATCCTGGATACCCGACCTGGCTCCACGGCTTACCCTCCGAAGTATATCGCGGGATCCTAAGTATGGGAGCCTCATTGAGGGCCGCTATAAGCACCCATCTCGCTGTGTCCTGTAGAAACTGCATGTAAACCCTTCGATCGACGTCAATGCAATGCAAGCAGCCGCTTGCGAAGGATGGAAGGCGACGACACCGGGCACCTAAGCGGGACGCGCAACATCCCGACAACACGGGTAAAAGACGTGCAACCCAAACCCGGCAACCCCGTGACCCGCACTGTGATCCCACCCCCACAACCTAGACCATGAGAGCCCGTAATATAGGGGCCTTAACAGTTAGAATAGGGTTTTCGGGTAGATTATACTATAATCTTAATAAGGAACCCCCAAAACACTGTAGGTCATTATTCAGACCCCTATGTTATAAACCACCCCAGAGCCTATACACACCCCAAAACATGTTGGGGCCCCACACTCCATCCCCGGGATCTGGGACCCTCTTCCCCAAGCACAATCACTGAAACCCCTTCTGATCCAATGGTTTAGGGTTTAGGGTTTAGGGTTGAGGGTATAGGGTTTAGGGTTTAGGGTCTAAGAACCTCAACTCCAAGCCTCACACCCTACGACCGCAAATCCTGCAACCCTAGGGCCCTGGATCCCATGCACCAACGGCCCTAAACACCATAAGCTTGAGCGCCACACCACAAACCCCACATCCCATCGCCAGGGCTATCCATGCTCCGGTTCACAGTTGCGGGATGAAGTGCTGGACTTCGGGAAACGGGTTAAGGGCTCAGGGTGACCTAAAAGAATCGTTGAACAGTTGCCAAAGCAGACAGACCCCCCCCCACCCCGCTAAACCCCGAAGCCCTGGACTCTGTTACATTACCCTCCCAATCCCGCCCTAAACCCCAAGGCCTTAGAGTCTGTTGATGTGAAAAAACCTCTGTTCATGTCAGAAGCGTCTTGCGGGGGTAGGGTTCAGGGACTACCAAATCCTACCAAGGGATTGCGAACTTCTGGAGCGGAACTGAAGGGCTGAACAAATCTCTGGATTGAGGACCACTTTTACTTGTTCAAGAGCGCCATGGCCGCTTCGAGTACCCTGCTTCATTCGGGCTTTGAGTTTGTAATTCAAACTTTAAGGCTCGGGCTTGAGAGGTGCGGGTCGAGGTTTAGGGAGGAGGGTTAGGGGGCCTTTCGGAAATATCTTCGTCTTAGTCGCTGTTTGATTGAATCAGGGCTTGTGTGTTGCCTGAACATGCCTGAACCCTACCTCCTAAAGTTCCAGCGTGACTATGCAACCGACTGCTCTCATGCGCAAGTGGCCTCTGCGGACTCACTCCCAAAACCATACGGGCACTCCGGCTACACGTGGCTCAAGTTTTAGGATTTGGGGCCTGAGACCTAAATCATACCGGTGTATTTACAGCTCTCTCGCAACACGCATTAACAAGTTCGGAGCCTGGCCTAACCGGTACTTCGAGCCTCCAAGTGCGGAAACGGCACGAACATGTAGGCGAAGTAGAGGTAGGTGTTGTAGAAGGTAGTCAGCAGCCACCTGATCTCGATGATAATCACGGTAAACCGAAGCGAACCCTAAACCCTAAACCTAAACCCTAAACCCTAAACCCTAAACTAAACCCGGATCTAGGCCTCGACTCTGTAACCTTCGAAACCCATGCGAAGCCTGAGCCCCCAGAACCCTTCCCGTTTCGGGTGTAGGGATCTAGCGAATCTACGGTTAGGGTGTGGTTTGAATTAAACCCTAAACCCTAAAGCCTCAACCCTGAACCCTAAACCCGAAACCGTGGCCTTGGTACCCTAAACCCTAAACCCTAAACCCTAAACCCTAAACCCTAAATGGCTGACATCCAGGTTCTAAGGTCCAGACCTCAGCACCTCTCTTTCGCAAGAAACCTGCAACCCAAACCTTACGACAGCCCCCTGAAGCGCCTTACTATAGGTATAGTATAATGGACCCTAAAACCCTATTCTAACCAGTAAGGCCCCTACATTGGGTTTAGGGGTTTAGGGAGTAGCAAAGAATCAAGAACTGCAAGCATCTGCTGAAACTCATAAAAAATCATGAGACCACCACAAAATCCGAGACGACCCTTGCAAAAATGTTCGCTATGGGCGCGCCCCCGAGATGCGTAGATTTCAGATGGAACCGTTCAAACCTCCCATAGATGCCCTCTGCTTGCTTTGAGATGGATTCCCTGAAAGAACAAGCTTTGGCTCGGCTTTCCGGGATCACCACTAGGGCTTTGCAAGGATTCTATCATTGAAGGATGCCAATCACCAAGGCTTGATCAGCGCTTTGAAGCTTCCTGGGACGAGGCGTTCTTCTACTTGGAGGTTCAGGGAGCTCCTTTAGCTGCCCGTGGGTGCAGTCCCATGACCAAGGCCTCTTTACAGCTGGGTGGCGATCAAAAGTGAAGCTCCAGGTAAGATGTACCTCGAAGTACCTAGACCGCTTGAATGGAAGCCCCGACAACCGAAAAACTTACTTATGGCTTCGAAGGGCTTTCGGTGCAGGGCCTGATGCCTGGAGATTGGGAGGCTTGGGTTGAAGACCTCTTGTGGGCCGTAATGCCTGCTGTGGCTGATACTTCAGAAATCAGGGACTTGGGTAGAAAGAGCCATGATAAACCCGTTTTGCTGCTGTAACCCTGCTTTGAGACTAGGTACGACGTCCCCGGAGCCTTCAAGCAGACCCGAAACCCTAAATCCCTACCCTCATCCCGACCCCCTGAACCCTAAAATTTCGGGGCATCATAGCTCAGATCTGAGGCCGCCGGCACGAAAGTTCCGAAGCCGATGACGTGCGCAAAGAAGTTCACCCGCACCCTGCAACTTTCAGATAACAATAGCTATCATTGTGACTCTTATTACTATTATTAGTACTATGAGCATTATTATTACTATTATTCTTATTATTTATTATTATCGTTATTATGATTATTATCATTATTCTGATTATTCTTATTCTCATGGTTATGAGGATCAATATTCAACTCATAGTAGTGCTCAGGCTTCAGGGCCCTACTCAGGAGTACACGATGAGAGGTGTAGGCACACACGTGCATTGGGGACCTGAGATAAGCGAAAGTCACCACAGAATGAAACGGCAGCGCGTCTTCCTCAAGCTTTGCTACCAAGATCTTCAAGGGAACCCTAAACCCTAAACCCTAAACCCTAAGCCCTAAACCCTAAACCCTGAACCCTAAGCCGTGACCGGGCCGATGCCAGTAAAGAGTTTCGGCTTTTCGGGGGAGGATGGGACAACCTTGGACCGTAGACTTCGTCAACTCAGGGCTTGGGGTTAGGGGTTCTGAGGTGTACATATATATATATATATATAGATATATATATATAGAGAGAGAGAGAGAGATATATATATATATATATACATACGAGTAGAGCATTGATTTTTTTGGTAGACCTTAATCCGCAAAGAAGCGGATCTCCCCAATTGGCCTCCTTGTTGTTGAATTCAGGGAAATCGAGACTGAGAGGTTTGGGACCATGGATGTGGGGCTCAAGGGGCTTTGAGCGGGACTTTTTATCTAAAGTATAAGGCCAGCGCGTGCGCATTCAGGCTTCAGGATTGTTCAGCCGTTTCGGTTCTCGCTAATGTTGTGACCCCATAGCGTAGAGATTGAGGGTTCCGGGACCAAAGGGAGGGTTGGACTGGCTCAGCCCGGAACCCGTGAGCCGTACACCTGAGCCGAAGCTCTAGACGTAAGCGGAAGGGCTTCGTCAGCCCTTCCGCTTAACTCTGGATCTGTTGTTCCGGCATCGGGTTAGCAGGTGGGTTCAGAGCTTTAGTTGCTTTAGCTTTCGGGGTGTTTAGGGGTTTAGGGCTTCAGGCTCAAAGGGCCAACGGAAGCCTGAAAAATCGTAGCCGCGGCATGTGGCAATAATCGCACTGAGCCGAAGGTTACAACACACCTAAACCCTCCAAGAAACGCGCCGTGCACAGCCCTAGATCCTGAACGATGAACCGTTAAAACTAACCCACGGAGCCTAAACCCTTAGGCCCTAAAGCCCTTACCCCCAAACCCTAAGCCCTAACCCCAACAGAAGAACCCGCAACGGTCGCTTCGGTGCACCTGCCCTCTGCTTCCACGGCGTGCTGAAGCGTGCCAGCGTAAACTGAGCGGAGGGTTGAGATCCTTAACATAAGGGCCCTGCTAACTTAGAACAGGGGTTTTTGGTGTACAGTCTTCTTCAGGCCTACACTGAGGCAAAGGCAGCACAGGACCCAAAGGCGTCAGAAAGCCCAATACTTCTAAGGTAAGCTCCACACCCTTCTGCGAGTCATGGCAGGAAGCCCACTCCAATTGCAAAGGCATTCAGGGTACAGAATCCAACTTAAAAGGGGACACGAGACTTCGGTGCATAAGCGACGGCCGAGGATCCTCGAAAGGGCCTGAGGTTTGGATTTTCATCCTTGGAACAATAGAGCCACCGTCCAATGGACGTCACGTGAGCAGGTGAGAGCTGCTTGTCCGTGGTGAGGCTAGGACTTGTACTAGGGCCTTCAGGGTTTAAAGCTTAGGATTCCGGGTTTCGGGTTTAAGCTTCCAGAAGCTGCAAGCAGGTACAACACCCCGATTTTTGCGGAGTGCTAAAGTCGAACTACTGCGGCTCAAGGTTGGCCGTGGGCTTGGCGTTTAGGATCTTGGCACCATAAACACGACTAACGCCTCAGACCTTGAAGGCCTAAACCCGTGAACAACGAAGTACTCCAAGCTCAGACGCTTCAAACCTTTCGTGGAAATACTTCTGACCGTGGCCCCGACGAGTGAAGAGCGTCTTGAGCTCGTCGAGGCCTGTGCCGCTCATCTTGCGGCTGGCCTGTGACGACATATAGTTAGTCCGATCTAGTCTAGTCCAATCTAGTCTAGTCTTGTCTTGTCTCGTATAGCAGAATAGAGTAGGGTACAGTATAGTAAAGCATAGCGTATATCGTACCATCTTATAATTATGTTGTCTTATAGGCTACAGATGGACAGATAGCTAGCTAGCTAACTAGCTAGCTAGGTAGCTAGCAATAGATAGATAGATAGATAGATAGATAAATAGTTGGATAAATAGTGAGACTAGGTATATAGATAAATAGAAAGATAGATAGCGGCTTGATAAATGCCAACATCGGGCTTGACTTGAAAGCTGTGCCCCTTCAGGATTAGTGAATCAACGGAAAACGAAGTGCCGTACTATGGCATATCATAGGATACTCATGATACGTAGACCATCCTCTCCCGTCCGGCTTCGGGTTTCTGGGGTCTTTGACGGAAGTTCACCGAGCTTCGGAGTAACACTGGGCCCATGTCCCAAGAGGGTAACTAAGCTGAATGAAAACTCCAGACCCCGATCCGGCACGGCAATGCAAACGCTTTAATCATGAAAACAACTAGAATAAGATTTTGGGGTATCTGGCACTGTAGACTATAGCTGTGATTAGGAACCCTAAGGAATAACATTCGTAGCTATTCAAAGTTCCATATTACAGATATCGTGATGTCAACGCATGCCCGACAGATCTAGCATCCTAACCTTCCACATCTGTCTGCCTCGGCCATTTTCGCTTGCATCTCCTCGTTGCGGCGACGGATGTCAGCCTCAACCAAGGCTCTGTCTAGGTCTTAGGGCTGTTTTATGGTTTTTTAGGCTGCCAGGCGCTCCCGGCTGTACAGCGTGAGAAGTGGCCGGCTGTCGAGTCGGCACAACTACCAGGTGCGATTTAAACTCCGTGGTGCAACATTGGCTTAATTCCCAAATGGTTTATGGTGTAGGGTTGAGGATTTGCGGTTTAGGGAGGGCAATCGATGTAGTTCGGCACAGAGCCCGATTGGTGGCTGAGAGGACTACGGACAGTCACGATAGATGTGCATACCTTGAAGAATTCAGGGCTAACCGACACTTCAAGGCTACTGGTCCCGAAAACCATGCTACACGCACTGCGGGCGAGGGGGGGCTGGTCTTTATGCTTTAGCGCTTCGGGCTAGAATTCGGGTGTGTTTTTTTTCAACCTCGGCTGTTTTTTTCTGACCTTGATTTTACTTCTTGACCTGGGCCAGCTGCTTCTTTAACCACGAGTTTATTTTGAACCTCGACTGAAAAAGCACGGGGTCCCAATACGCATCTGGCAAGGCTGTGGCTGATCCACGAGCTGCCGTCCGAGTAAGCATTTCGGACTGAGCTGGCGAATATTGAATAGTGACGAAGCTGAACATGGCCAGCGAGCCTCACCTGAAGCTCAGAAAACCTGTAAAAACGTGCACATTCACACTTTGTGGAACAAGCTGCCAAAACAAAGTATGTGTGGACAGCCATCACCTTCCAGACTGCCGCCTGCAAAACCCATGCTGATGAACAACACGACACCGACAGCAGAAGCCAAAAGCAAAATTCGCTGTCCGGTTGTGTTGGAAGTGTACAAGACGTTCTGTCCCAAGAGGGCCGCGCAAGCCGGTGTCATCGGAGACTCCATTCGGAGAGACGTGGACAACGTAAGCAGCCGGCTGCTTAAGACGAAAACTACATGCGAACTGCATGACGCTTTGCCTGAAATCTGCATTGATGTTTAAATGTTAAAACAAACTGCCAAAACAAAGTGTCGGAAAATGAACATACCCATGGACTTGGACAGCCATCACCTTCCAGATTGCCGCCTGCAAAACCCATGCTGATGAACAACACGACACCGACAGCAGAAGCCAAAAGCAAAATTCGCTGTCCGGTTGTGTTGGAAGTGTACAAGACGTTCTGTCCCAAGAGGGCCGCGCAAGCCGGTGTCATCGGAGACTCCATTCGGAGAGACGTGGGCAACGTAAGCAGCCGGCTGCTTAAGACGAAAACTACATGCGAACTGCATGACGCTTTGCCTGAAATCTGCATTGATGTTTAAATGATAAAACAAACTGCAAAAACAAAGTGTCGGAAAATGAACATAACCATGGAGTTGGACAGCCATCACCTTCCAGATTGCCGCAAAACCCATGCTGATGAACAACACGACACCGACAGCAGAAGCCAAAAGCAAAATTCGCTGTCCGGTTGTGTTGGAAGTGTACAAGACGTTCTGTCCCAAGAGGGCCGCGCAAGCCGGTGTCATCGGAGACTCCTTTCGGAGAGACGTGGGCAACGTAAGCAGCCGGCTGCTTAAGACGAAAACTACATGCGAACTGCATGACGCTTTGCCTGAAATCTGCATTGATGTTTAAATGTTAGCATGCAGTTGACCAGCCGTGAGACGCGCTGGCGCCAGCAACATGAGGCTCTCACAATCGTAGGGACGTCGAGTCCGTGAGCCGCGGCACGATGAAGATGTGCTCACTCTGCGCGCCGTCAAGCACTCGAGGCTTTGCTAAAGATTGATGCCACTGGGTGTGACTCAAGGCCTGTGAAGCACAGAGAGTGTGAATAGCCCGCGCATTGCAAAGACGACGACAACCTCAACCGCGGATGGCCACCATAACCGACGTGTTAAGCACGGGTGTGGCAAACTGCCAAATAAGCATGGGAATGTTGGAAGGCCGACTTGTCCCCTGAAACTGCATTGTGCCCGCGCTTGCGCACGGGCAGTGCTGGCCTCGCAACACCAAGGTCAATATTGACAGTAAGCGTAATAACATGAGCATGTTGAAACCGTCCGGGCTAAGGCTTACGGTTTGAGTGATTTGCTCGATCATGCTGCCCATCGTGCGGCCGATGTTCTCCCCTTGGGCGAAGCGGCGGGCTCGAGCAAGTGCTCGAGCTGCGTTGGCCTCGCAACACCATCGCTACATGTAAACCACAAACGACGTCTTTCTTCAAAATCTGGTCCCTTCAAGAATTGTGAATTGGTTAGTTTTTAAGGATATCGAGCAAGCTGCCCAGCGAGCGACCCAGAGTTTCGGTCAGACCATACGCTGAGCGTAGGCCTGCGCCCGATCAGACAGCCGCCTCGGCATCAAAAACGTCGCAAAGCGAACGCCCCAGGGTCTCTGTAAAGCCGTACTGGGCAGCGCCTACACGTGCGCGAGCCAGGTCAGACTGAGCCTCGCAAAACCATCGCCGTCAGTCCCGGTGTGGGTTGTTCAAACTTTAGGTTTGGTTTCCATTGAGCCACCAGAACAGAGAGTCTTTTTTAACAATAACAAGAACAAGAACAAGAAGAACAACAACAACCACAACCATAACAACATCGACACAGCCAACAACGACCACAGTAACAACGAAAAGCCATAAGTGCAGCCTCCAATGCTCAGAACCCAGTCATGGTACCCACACTTCAACCCAAATCCTAGGACCCGGTTACATAATGAAAAGGACCCTTTTAACCCCGAACTGGCATTTGTGCAATGCTGAATGTGTGCTGCCTCTTTTGCTTTCAGTCACTGATCAGGTTGCATAGACAACTCTACTTGTACAACCAGAAGAGCTTTAGCAAACCCAGGTCACTTTGCATTCCGCTGAGTATAAGAGTGATTTCCTCTCTGTTGATGGGCCTCGGCGCTTGACACTTTTAAACATACGACATTGGCCGCAGGCTTAAGAACTGCAGCTCAATAGAATGGAGGGTCCACGACCGCGGAAAGGGGGTCAGGACAGGCTTAAAAAAGACTTAAGGCTAGAACAAAAACGCTCGACTGCAACTAGCTGGAACTGGCCCGGTACCAGGTCGTATGCACCATCTGCATCAGTGGCTAAGCCCCATCGCGGGCTTACTCTAAACAAGCTTCCGTCGTTGTCCTAGGAAGTTCCACATCGCGGTTCTTGACAAAGCGAATGGTCCAACTTAGAGCAGCATAGAAGCTTCAGAGTATTCTTCATGACGGAAGAAGACTTGAGAGTACCTTGAGACTGTCACGTCTTTTGTGCTCCTGCATGAGGCACGTGACATTGAATTCTTCTCAGGCTTGAAGTGGTGTTTGGGCTTCCTGCGTGAATTCAGTTTCAATATACAGGACACGAGTGGTAATCCTTAGTGCAAAAGCCCTGCTGGAAGTGGTGAAGTGCAGGGTTGTATACCGTGCTTGTGCGCTTCTGTACTTGAAAATGGCATCCGCTGAGCGCTGGCTGAGACTTAGCAAGCCTTCAAAAGTAGCTGTAGTTCTTAACATCCTCGCGCTTAGACAACAATTTATATCATCTTCGGCATCATGATATTGCCATGTTTCGTGGTCTGCCTTGGCCATCACGCACCGGATTACCTCGCAGGTGTGAGTCATGCGGGCTACCCTGAACCCATGGATTCAGCCCACAAGGACTGGAAGAGGAATCACTATGTATGGGGAAGTCGAACTTGCGGCCCCTCTATATGGGAATTCTGAATGACATGCTTTCAAGGTGCCATCATGATTTCGTAAGTTTTTGAGGCAACAAACAACTTCGCAAATAAGTTCTAGGCACTGGTTTGTGATTTAGGACCTGTGGGGCCATGTAGGGCTGAAGGAGTCGGACTGGTGGCTTCGATTTTACGGCATAGGCTCTTGGATTGGATGGCGGGTTTGAAAGCGTAGGAGTCAGGGAGTCTAGGGCCTTGAGTTTAGCCTCGCCTCTCAAAAACATCGAAAGCAACATGAGCGGCGGTCTTGATGGAATTCACGTCGGCGGGAAAGGTCCTCAGAATGAGTGTTCGTCATGCCTTCATACACACAATCATTCATACCGAGCTTGCACTGACATTCTTACGCGCAGTGGTTGACTAAACCCTGAAGCCCCCGGCAACAGCTAGTCAGAACACTCTCGACGACAAACCCAAACCGGAAGCTTCAGCAAGACCCTTCACCACACGACCCCCAAGCCCCAACACCTCAACTGGCCCCAAGTCCAGCAGGGCGGGAACCAAAAAACAGAAAGGATCCCGGACTTCTGCACCCTTCATCTCCTCATCTCTTTTCAATGACCAACGTAAACCATTATAAAACCGAGAAACCCCGAAGCCTAACTCCGCCTGCGCCAGGCGGGCGAGGATCACCAACGCCGCCACAACACCCACCGTGCGGGCCCAAAGCCTGGCAGATTTTTGGAGCCCTCCAAGGACGATGGCTTGACAAGGTCTCGCTAACTGGGGCCGTCAGGAAACTACTTGGAGGCCCTTTTGACTTAGTACCCCCAGGAGCCCTATTATAATCCCCATAACCCACCTTACTAACCCTACTTACTAAGTCAAAAGGGCCTCCAAGTAGGGCTAGCTTGTCTAAGAGCCCTGAGAAAAGCCATCCCACGATTTGGGTCCCTTCTTTGCGGGAACTCCCAAGTTGTGCATCGGGCCTAGGGCCTGGGGGCTTGAAGGGGATGCATAAGACTTTATGCAGTTTTGCTGGGTGTGATCCCGACACTCACCATGATAGTAGGATATTGGGATGGTGTCTCAAGTTCTGATATGATGGCAGCATGATGGGCTGAGAGCACAAGGATCCACAAATCAACACAAAAGACGCCGGAAACTCGCTGCATGGCAAAAGACATTAGTGTATGTTCATACATACTTATCACTTGCTTGCATTATTCGACACTTACAGCGTCTGGGTGGCATGAGACGGAGAATATGAAGCGTCTTGATGAACGGCCAATCCGACATAAAACGTAGCCCTGAAGCACACTTCCTGGTGAAACCTGCGAACCACCCATAGGTTCGTGGCAAACCCGGGCCCTCAGCAGCGTGCTTGACGGCTCGGTGTGTTGAGCGCTTCGGGTTTAGGGTTTAGGGTTTAGGGTTTAGGGTTTAGGGTTTAGGGTTTAGGGTTTAGGGTTTAGGGTTTAGGGTTTAGGGTTTAGGGTTTAGGGTTTAGGGTTTAGGGTCCCCTCCAAACCGGTCAAAGCCTCTTGAACCCCCTGACAGAACCATCGAAGAGCCGGAATGCTATACAACACGGGGGCCTGATGTGACCCAAAACCCCCAAGCCCTAATTCGGAGCCCTGAACCCGAAACCCCCAAAACCCTAAGCTCGAAGAGCCAGATCCCAAAAGCCAAACCTCTGAATTTAGGAGGATCTCGACTGCTGGAGTTTCCGAGCTTCTTGGTGTGTAGATTTCTGGACCCCTAAACCCTAAACCCTAAACCCTAGACCTCAAAGCCTTTAAAAGCCCGAAAACCTCAAACCGTAATGCCAAACTAGAACCTCAGAGCCTACAAACCCACCCCTTAACAACCCTGAAACCCTAAACCCTAAACCCTGAAACCCTGAGCCCTGAAACCCTGAACCCTGAAACCATAGTCTTGGAAGGAGCCTGAGGCCGGGGATCGGCTTGCACGGGTGGTCCCAGTCAGCATACCTCAGCGATCTTGTGGCACGGGGCTTAGGGTCACAAGAATTAGGGCTTTAGGGTTTGGGGTTTTAGGGTGGTTTTTTTTCATCACCTCTTTTCCTTCGCCCGATAAGGGTTCCGGAATACCATGTTGGTGGAGGCAGGTTTAGGGTTTAGGGTTCAGGGTTTAGGGTGTGAACCCTAATCCCGAAAAACCCTAAATAAAAGGGTTGTGTTGTGATGTCAAGCCAACTATGCGCATTTAAACTCCAACATTCCCATTTCCGACAACGAACTGTTAAGCTTGAACGATGCAAGGTTGAAGGCTTGTGTGCATCAAAAGAATAAAGAGAAAGCGGTGGTATCCGGAAGCGGAAAGAGACGACTGTGCTGGCAAGGCTGCAAAAGTTTCCGAGTTCAAATAACTGCCAGGGTCCTTGCGGTAACCCTTGTAGCCTTATTGCAACCCTACACCATTTGGGCAAGCTTATAGTAACCTTATAGCAACATCTAGAAGTGGAGTAGTCAAGGATTTTGGAGCGCTGCCGGGATGCTCCGATACGGCGGCCACAGAAAGGACCGGAAGCAGCACCAGGAAGATTTGCAGGAGCTGGCCTTGTGCTTCCTAGCTCCTAAACTCTGCGGTGAGGCCTTTGCTGTTTTTAGGGCGTGGAGGTCTACACAGGTCTTCGGTGCTTCATTTGGAGCGGTTGCGAGGTGTCGGGATAAAAGGAATACCTGACCAAGCAAGTTTTGGATGTACGATATCTGGCGCAATAGTGGGGGCAACGACAAGAATCTTTGCAGTGGTAGCAGCCGTCGAGTTTTACCTGCAAGATGGTGCCATGCAGAAGACTTACTGCATGTTGCGCTTAAGACATGTGCAAGTCTACCTCCACTAGTAGCCGACTTGCTAAAGCATTCAGGCAATCTCCAAAGCCCAAAAGAGGAGGAACTCTGAGCTCCCCACATACCATGTTCACGTTCAGGTTGGCCTAAGGTCTCTCATGTCAGGCTTCTGGGTTTTGGGTTGGGGTTTAGGATTTGGGCTTAGGGTTTCGGGTTTTGGCGCTTACGGCCGTCGGAAGAGCAACCATAGTTGAGCAACATCGTATTTCTTCCAGCACCGACTAAAGGGGCAAGGCTGAGGGATGCTTGAAGCTTACAAGGGAAACTTCTTTGCATCTGCACGTGTGCCAATGACTATCCATTCATTTCTCGGCTTACGGACAGGGACCGCAGGACCTGACAGCTTTCGCAGGACCATGGTAGGCCAGAGCTCAGGGTGCTCTTTTGGACATCGTTCGGAGTTTCAACTTGCTCTGCTTTCAGATTGTGGGCTTTTGGAGCCGCTGGCAAGGACAGACCTCAGAAGCTACGAATCCTTAATCCAGCGCAATGAAAGCATAACCTACAAACCCTGAAGCCTGAAGCGAACAACTCCGACCACATTGACAAGAAATTCAACCCCAAACTCTGGCAATGGTAAAAACCCTGCTTGAACCCTTACATAACCCTCCTGAAACCTCGAATCCCCAACTCCAAACTTCAAACTCCTAACCAGCAAGCCCCAAAGCCCCATTCTCTGTCCGAGGGGCCGGGACAAGCAGGCCCGCAAGGAGGACAGAGAGGGGTGGGAAGTTGGCTGCCAACGCGGCATCCTACCGGCGTAGCCATGATATCAGAGGAGGGGTTGGGGTTGAGGGTTGAGGGTTGGGGGTTGAGGGTTTAGGGGCCTAAACAATCAGAAACGGGTTGGGGAGCCGGGTCCAAGTCGAGGGCTTGGGCCGCTATTCCTACTCGCACTCCTACTCCACCTCCCACCACCACCGCCACCACCACGACGACCACGACGAGAACGACGACGGATATTACTACCACTGCCAGAATAGTACAGTAGTGGGAGTAGTAGTCGTCATCGTAGTAGTTGTCAGGTTATTTGTTGTTGTGGTTGCTATTGCTGTTGCTGTCGCTGTTGCCGTTGCCATTGCCGTTGCTGTTGCTGTTGCAGTTGCCGCTGCCGTTGCTGATGTTACCGTTGCTGCTGTATTGTATGTGCATTGAAGCCATTGTTGATCTTGATCCCACACAGCTTTACATCCGAGTCCCGCAGGCCATGATGTCTTTGTGCACGATGTTTAGATCCAGAGCGCAGCGCCATCAACAGTTGAAAACAACCCAGCCTCGTCCAGTAGCACCATGAACTCCTCCACGGTTCATGGCTCGGGACTCACGGTCTGGGGTTGAATAAGGTGGCGTACTGAGACGCAAGAGCTAGCCCGCGAAAAGACATGGGGACGAGAGACACTCGTCGAAGGAAGAAGGCGCAGAAAATCCTCCTATCCCATCCCTAAGCGTTAACGATAGGCTGAGCTCAGACCTAAAACCCCAAGCCGGCCCTACCGCGAAGCCTTCCATCAACCCACACTTGCTCCAAAACCCGGAACAAACCTTTGTCTTAGCAGCTTATTAGCATTTCCCCATTGTTTTGCGACGTCCAGGGAACAGAACTTGAACACCTTGACAGCAGTCTGAGCGGCTGGGTTGTCACGGAGGAATTCGACATTCTGCCCGTGATCTACAACCCCAGTGCCAAGACTTGCGCTCATGAAAGCTATGTCTGCCTCTCGCTTCTCTCCTCTTTTCTCGCGTTCCAGCCCGATGCATTTTTGGCCCATGTGTATATATGTCCATGCATCGGTGTTTATTGGCAGTCGTTCGCAGAGCATGTCTCGAAAATGTGCTCGCCGCTCTCAGGTGACGTTTTCATTCGTATAGATGTTCAGATCGAGATCCGACGAGAAGTTCGGACAACTTCGTGTGCGACTAGAGCCAGCTTTGACGGTCGACGCAATGCTTCCTTCGCTGCGGCACCTTGTTCTCGAATCCAAAGCCAGTGAGGCAAAGATCAAAGAATGATGTTCCCAACAAAGGCATACTGAGAAACAAGAAACATCCTGAGACAGCGCTGGCCTTCGTCATGCTGCGTGGACGTGCAATTGCAAGGACCCTCCAGCCAGAATGCCAAATGCCAACGCCAAGAGCCGCAAATGCAGCACCACGCCGAGCATGACGCAGCTGAGATCCGCGTTTGGGAGTTGGGTTTAGGTTCTGGGGTAAGCTTCGAGATCCTAAAACCCAATCACGCAGAGCGAATCGAAAATGTGGCGTTCGGATTCACGTTTTCTTCGTCTTCTCGCCGAGCAAGCTTGCACTCGTAGGGCCTGTGGGCTTCAGTCGTGCAGGCTCGGAGTTTAGGGCTGGTGGGTTTAGGGTCTAGGATCTAGGGTTTAGGGTTTAGGGTTTAGGGTTTGGGGTTTAGGGTTTAGGGTTTAGGGTCTACATTCTTGCCACAAGCTATACTACCTGAGAACACAGTACCGAAACTCGTCGGTTGCATAGCAAGCCGCAACACAGAAAACCCTGCGGCCCCAGTACCCGGCAACACCAAACTCTACCGGCCTAAACCCTAAACTCCTCAAACCCCTTGAGCATTAACCCCTAAACGCTTAAAGCCTAAACCCCTTAATCCCCAAACCGCTGAACCCCTAAACCCCTAAACCCTTAAACCCCTAAAACCCCTAGAACCCCTTAATCCAAAGCTCCGCGAAACGGCGTCCTCCATCTGCAGCGCCCGGGCCACTGAGCCAACACCATCTGTCAGCTCTGTCATGACGAAAGCCTGAAGGCTTCGTAGGCAGCTTTGCAACGGCTTTACTCGGGCTTATCTAGGACTTAATGAGGCATGAGTAGGGGCTTGGCCCGAAGATTCTGACAATCAGGGAAGGCTTGGGATTTGCGGATTTCGGGTCCAAGGGGTGCTAAGGGTTCGACCTCTTTCGTAGGAGCGTACCGTACCACCGATCCTGGCAAAAGGGCCAAAATTTAGAAGAGGCCTCACATGATAGTCAGTTGAGCATCTCTTGTGGTTTGGGGTCCTGTGGTTTTAGGCAAAAGGTTCGAAGATCTGGCTGTCAGGCTTAGCGGCTGAGAGCTTGATTCTTCGTTCAGGATTTAGATTTCCGCAATGGCACTGCGGGTAGCCGCTTCTGCTGAGCCGCACCAGCATCACGATAACCGAGATTCCCACAACAATCCATTGAACCCTTGGGCAAGCCCCGTGCCTTTTTTGTCTAAGCCCTCAGCAAGCAGGCCCCTAAACGTTTTCCAGCAGCCTGCCTAAAACAGAAACCTATTCACAAATCCTTTCAATCCAAGACAAACCTTTTCTTTGAGCTGCCAAGGTGGCCACCTGGTCTTGCGCTGCAGTTTTCCGGTTTGGATTTTGGGGTTTGCTTAGGGTTTCGGGCTCTGAGTTTTTCAAAACCGAGGGCTCTCAGCCCGTTACCATGAAACCTAAACCCTTGGGCGCAGGGCATCGGAGCAGAAAGTGTGATTCACTGTCAGCTAACAGAGCACCGTGCGGGTTGCCTAATTTACGTACCCCGGGCCTCCAACCCTAAACCCCTAAACCTAAACCCTAAACCCTCAACCCCAAACCCCTGAGCCTAAACCCTGAACCCTAAACCCTAAACCCCTAAAACCTAAACCCTAAGCCCTAACGAGCAAGTCGGACAACTTCTGGCCAGATCTGCCTTGGCTTTGTCCGTGAGTGAGGTCACCTTGTCCGTGATGATGCTCTTCACCTTCGTCAGGTTCAGCGAGGATTTGCGTTGGGAAGGGCGACGGGGTAGGATTTAGAGCTTAGGCCCTCATAGTTTGAATCGGGCTTTGGCCTACATGATAGTAAAGTCACGTATATCAGGCACTAGAAGAGGCCAATATATCTGATGCTTCCGACCCCTATATGCGGGTTCTCACCTCTAAGATCATTGAGACCCAGACTTGGACAAACCTGCGGGGAAGCATCGCCACTATGTCTGCACTATCGCAGGAACCTCACAAATCGGAGGTTGATCACTTCATATCCGAAACCCTAAAGACCGAAAGGCTGAACCCTATGCCAGGGCGCTCCTCCCATAAAGCCCTCTAAAGTCCTGAGCACTTGGAGGCCCTTTTGACTTAGTAAGTCTACTTAGTATCCCCCAGGAGCCCTATTATAATCCCCATAACCCACCTTNNACCTTACCAACCCTACTTACTAAGTCTAAAGCCCTGAGCAAGGTCGTCCAGGGGGCGCCTGCACGCCTTTGGCGGCCTTTGGCCCCAGGCTCTGCATGGCACGCTGCAGCATCAGCTGCACAAGGTCCTATACAAAGGGTTTAGGGTTTAGGGTTTAGGGTTTAGGGTTTAGGGTTTAGGGTCGGGCTGAGGGTTTGGAAGAGCCAGGACTGGACGCTAAATGAATCTTCGAACGCGCGTCCTCGTAGTCCTCCAAGGCCGTCTCACGCGCCTGTAACAGGTGTTGGCACTTCGTTTGGAGTTTGGGCTAAACTGCTAAACCCTAAACCCTAAACCCCTAATCAATTTCCCCCCTAACATGGCTTTTTGATGTGGTGCTTATGTTTCGGGCCTCGGTTTAGGACGCAGGACTTTTAGGGTTTTGGGACTCTGGGTGGAGGATGTTGAGGCTTTGGGCTTTTCGCTTTTTTTGATTTAGGGCTTAGGGTTTAGGGTTCTGTGGAAGTGCGGGGTCTCTGGAACCGCTTGAGGTTGACATGCTGGCATGCGGTCGAACGAGCAATCGGGCTTCTATTTCGTGCACATTGGATTTCAGCATGTGGTGCACATCCACAGTATCAGTAAACGACAGTCGGATATGGTAACAAAGCAAACACAAAGTATACAATCTTCGAGAATACTTTTACACAGTTATTCTCCACCCACTTGCCTTGTCGAAGTAAGAGAACGGAACAAAAGAATGCTTCCGTCACAATTAAGAAACCAACGAGAACCCTACCCCACCCAAAAAAGCAAAGTTGAAAAGGTACTGGGCTGCGGGCCAGCCAGACAAGAGCAGGATACTAGGGACGGCCCGAGCTGCTGCCCAAAGTCCACAGCCCCTGAAACCATGTTTGTTTTCTGGAAACACCATCCCCACAAAAGGTAGCCCTACAACCCTATTCCCCATAGCCCTCAAATCCCGAAGCCCCTGTAGGAAACCCTTATACCCTAGAACCGCCATGGCACCATCATAGAACCATTCTGAAACCCAAAGCGCTCAAAAGCCCTCTTCCTCGAGATCCCCCGAAAGATCCCAGTGAAGCCGCGACCTCCACCGGTTTGACGGCCTCTGCCTTGGGTTCAAGGCTCAGGGCAAAAGTAGGGCTTCTGGCTCCTTTATTCTATTGCCTTCACTTAAAAATAAGTGTTCACATTCCATTGCATGTAGTTGGGTTGACGTTGTGTTGCACTACAGTCGCTATCTGACATCATGTTTTGGCACATTATATCCTACTACTAGACTATACTTTGTAGAGACACTACGTAACGACGAAGCTTTCAGGCTACGTACCACAGAGCCTACTCCATGCCAGGACATCGTGCTGTAGCCGGTTGAAATCGAAATGCACTACATAATGCACCACAAGCTTTCTATGAAAAAAGCCAAAATTCCTAGATCTTCAAACCCTGAACCTGAAACCATGCTGTAGAAGTCAACTAGGGATTAGGGCTTACTCTGCAAGACTCGGAAAATCTGCACTCCTTCGGTAATAGACCTTGCATGCCGCACAAGCCCTGAACACTGAACACCAAATCACAGCCCATTTATCCATACCCCAAACCCTCAACCTACACTCTAAACCCTCGGCCCTCAACCCTAGATCAAAAGCCTGAACCCTAAACCCTAAACCGTAAACATCTCTAAAGCCTGAACCTTAGACTCAAAGCCCCAACCCCTCGCACTGAGCGCCAGCCTCTTCTGGGGAAGTCTCTGCCTCCCCCTCGACCTCCTTGTCAGACCTTTTAGGGTTTAGGGTCTAGGGTTTAGGGTTTAGGGTCTAGGTTTTAGGGTTTAGGGCTTAGGGTTTTGGGTTCTGGGGGTTTAGAACTGGCTGGTTCTCGGGGGTTCCAGGATATATACAGCTAAAGCCCTGGCATCATGGCGGTGAGAATGCTTCCGAAGGAAACCCTAATCCCTAAACCCTAAACCCTAAACCCTAAACCCTAAACCCTTAAGCCCTAAAGCCTCCGACATTAATGGCTCGGTATCGAGGGGAACAGTACCTGCCCTAGATACTGGAGACTGCGTTTGCGAGCTCCTGGAGAAATTGAAAGTGGAAAGCGGAATCCGAAGAAATACAGGCGTCTAACCTTGTGGAGCCACACTTATAGTCGAAACTTCCGTATCAGACTCTTATGGGGCGTGAAGGTTTGGGGTTTAGGCTTTAGGCTCTACCGGGGGCTCAGGGGGCAACTTGGGGCCTTCTGATTTTGTTCTGGCTGGCCTGCTCTTGCTGAGCGCACTCATGGATTCGGAATGGTGCTGGTCTGACTCTATGACTCTACTGCGAAACTCAACCTGAAGGAAACCAACAACACCAACGCCTAGCGCTATTCCCGGTAGGTGGATCCTTCTAGCCCAGAAATGCCGGAGCTTTACATGTCGTGCCCCGGATTCAAACGAGCCACAGGGCCTCAATCCAAAACCCTAAGCCCAAAACCCTAAACCCGAAACCCAAAGAACGAGCCTGCTCGATGGGGTGGAGGTCCAGAAGAACAGCAGCGAGGCCGCTAGGGCAATGCTGCCTTGAGACTATCACCCAGAGGAGGGTTCCCTTAAGGGATCGTACAAGGGTTCCTTTAAGGGATTCTTTCAAGCGAGGTTCCTATAAAGTAGCCTGCAGTAGCATACGACCCCAATTTCGGGCCTCTACTTGCTAGATCCTCCCAGGGGTCTGCGCATGTGCTGTTGTCTATGACCTAGGCTCTGAGATCCTACGCATGATCATGAATGCGACTAGCAGCAATGCTATTTATATCTATTTACTTTTAGTGTGTGTGTGGTTGCTTGTATCTATAGCTCTCTTTCATTCGTCAGTGCTGGGGTGAGAGGGTAATCCCCTGCCACTGCTCTCTCTCTCTCTCTCTCTCGCGCTCTCTCTCTCTTCATACAACTAGCTATCAGAGTAAAGAAGACCAGCGGACATCATCGAAATGGTATTGTTGCCACCATCCACGGATGGCTGGGCAGAGCTTCGGGGATTCGGCGCAGCTGGGACATGAGCGTGAAGGGGTTTGATGCTCAAGTTTGCTGCTTACGACTTGGGGTTTTTCCGGCTGAGCTTTGCATGTTGGCGGAGGGCTTCTGGGGGTCTTGGGGCAAAGTGCCGAGGGCGAAGCGGGCCTGCGATGCTGTACTGTACTCCTAGGGCGGGGTGGAGCTCGTCAGTTTCGGGAACCCTGGTCCAGTAGAGCTTACATTCAGATGGGGACAATAATGACCATGACGAAAAGATGACCGAGAATAAGAACAACGATAGCGGTGCCAATATCCTGATGAGAACGATTATCGTCACCAGCATCGAAAGTTCAAGTGAGTATGCTGGACAGAGCGCAACTCTGGACAACCAGCGTCATTACATCGCTGACCTAATAACAACGGCAGCAGCGATGATGACAACAATAACAATAAGAAGATACAGACCGTCCCAACAACCATTGAAATAGTGGTAGCGATGCTAAGAATAAGAGCAATAAACGACTGCTTCAGTGCTGAGTGTGCCGCAGAGGCTGGCAACGATGTACAGCTGCGTGCGGACAGTGTCGGAAGCCTGCCGTCAAGGCTTTCAGCGCCCAAAAAGGAAAAGCGCCCAGGTCCGTGCAGATACTAGAAAACCCATGAAAGCCTTGCAAAACGCTATGAAACCACATGGATCTCCTGCGAATCGCAAGCCTGCGGGGCAACACTGCAAAAATCGAAGCCCAACACCCTCAAAGCCACCAGAAAGGAAGCTCTCCAAATCAGGAGCCCCGTATATCACTAGGGTTTGGGGTCCGGTGACTTCGCAAACTGCCTTAGGAGTGTACTTATATCTTCTTACTAGGCCGCTGTCCTCGCAAACGAGTATGTCTACTGCCTTCTGCTATGCACATGTGACTAGCTTCTTGAACACTGAATACTGGGATCCGGAGCCTTCTTCCCCACAGACATCCCTGACCCCTACCCTCGACATTATTGAGAGTGGGCCAAAACCCTCTTTTTCGGACACAAGCCCCCC